TTCGAATGAAGCAATATCACTTTGGAGCAATGTGGTACAAAGTCAGAACAATCTGGAACAACTTTCAAAATTATAAATTTCAAAAAGTGGGGTGCCAACTTCATACACTCCATTATTTTCCTACATTATTTGAAATAACGGAATAATTATTTCCCTACATTTGAAATAACAGAGATATTTAAAGTGGGTTTGTGTAGACAGAGTTATTGCCTTACTTTTTGTGTGTGTGTGTGTGTGTGTGTGTGTGTGTGTGTGTGTGTGTGTGTGTGTGTGTGATAGGATACGAAGAAATGTAATCGTGATACAGTCGAGAGGAAGGCAGACATCGAAATTCTCATTCATTATAAAGAAAATAAACCCTCGCGATTGCGGCCGTAATTCTCGTCAGTCACTTCGCATAGTCGGAATTTTACGTAAAGTTATATCTTGTGGCTGCACCAGAAGTATTCTAATTAATCCAAATATCTTCGCAACGCGCTCTCTTAAAGAACTCGAGAAGAGCGCAACCAAGTTCGCGTCAGCGCTTGATTACTCGAGGTCGAGTGATATCGGTCGACCAATATGCGACTCAGCCAATTTTACCGATTCATGAGTTACGATGCTCTGAGATCGACGAGGAAGAGCATAGGGAAAGATTAAGCGAGTGTTTTACGAGAGAGCGGAATACATACCCCAATGGTGCAGAGGATTACGTGCACATTCGTTACGTAACATTGCTTGGCCGCGTGATACACAAGGTACGATGTCACCAATATTATCAAGGCATGATTAAACATGTCCACCGCGGTGACGAACACACGCTGAGCGGTGCAGTCCATCTTCCTTCTCCTCGTATTTTCAGGGTCCGCGATACTTTCGGCAGAATCGTCCAATTGGATTTCCAGCTTGGACCCTGTCGATTGGAACTTGAGCCCGCCATTGTTTTTATCCTCCATTGTCCTGCAATATGTACGATTTGTTATCGGCGCTATGATCGGGCTATCAGGCGAAGGGACTTCTGCTGGCTCGCAATGCTGAACCTGATTGTATTCCCGACTTTTAAGCCCCATCTCGACGTGACATGCTTTCGACCGATGCTATGGACTATCGATATGGAAGCTCGAACAGCTATAACCTATTGTATCAATTAAATATCAACGTGAAATATAATCGTCACGCCAGTGTCGGCGTGTGGCCAAGTATTGGCTAACATTCACGATAAAATTCATGTGTATCTAAGAGGGCGTATGCAGGTATAACGTCTCTACGCGCTCACAGTCGCTGGAAATATTTATACGATAATATTATCGCAGTTGGCCGAGAAATATTCCAATGTTCCTCGGGGGAAGTACAGTCTGACGGCTGACTCACACTTACCGGCACAGCGTGGCACAGTACCGGCACCGGCAATATTATATCCTCGCACATTGTGTCTTTCTTCGTATTATAACTATAATTCTTGCAACACGTATTACGGCGCCATAAAAGTTAACGACCGTATCCCATAACATGTAAAAATATTCATGATGCCAAGTTTTGTTCGAGTAAAAGCTTGACGCAAGTCGCGCAAGAAAGTATTTGGTCTAAATATATATGACCTGATTCCCCAGCGCAGTCAATTTGTTGCCCATTTGCCGCTTTCTCAAGAAGGGGAAAACAGAACAAAAGTCTATCATTTACACAGACACAAAGCGATTCGCGTTGCAATTGCATTCTTTGTTCTGGTTGCCCGTTCTTATTAATGTAACCGGTAATTAATGAAGAAGCAAGGTAAGATAAGTAATTAGGTAATTAAGGTAAGTGACGAAGTAAGTAAGTAATTAAGAAATTAACATAAAACATGGGCAGAGTATTTCCGCAAGTATGAGAATATGAAATATCGATATCAAAGTGACGCAACAGTCGGCGCACAAATACTGTAATATTCATTAAGCTTTCAATAATGCAAATGACGACTGTTTTTGACGTATCGCAATGTCTCAACATAATAATCAATTTGTCACTGTATTCAAATTTAATTTGATACGCTATATGAAAATGCACACACCACATACAGGTGATGTCGACGTTCGCGTAATTAATCGAGCGATTTGCGAGAGAAAGAAGCGCCCTATTTGGGAGCGGTAATTACGATAATCGCAATTCGATACGTTCCATCTGCGATAGCTGTATTCAGTTCTTATTGGGTAGTCGCGGCAGACTTTATCAACCGTTAATCAGAACATATGCGAAGCGCTCGTCACTCGCGTTGTCAGAGATAGAAGTACTTCCATAAGTTGCCTTGGAAGATTTCATCGAGACGCGGGGAATCTATAGATGACAATTCCTTCAACTGATAAGAGGAGAAGTACAGCTGGGCTTGCTTATAGGTCGATTATAAGTCTCACTACTACTCTAAGGAAGAGAGTTGGTTCTCTGGGCAACCCTTAAAATTGAATGGTCTTAAAAAAGAGAAGAACAAGAATCAGTCCTTGTGTGCGGAAAGCAGAAAATAGGCAGTTTACCGAATGAGGTCATGAGGTCGCAGCTATTGCTGCTCCCACCACTCGTTCTGATGTTTTTTCCTTAATTAATAAAATGTCTGACCGAATCAAGAAAAATTTAATTCAGTTGCATATATCATTAATCAGTCTGTCGGTATACATATAAAATCACAGTTTCTATCAAATGCAGCTTAATTTAAGTTTCTCCACTTCTCCCTTAGATAAAACGAGATATTTTAGACATGTTAAACTACATGATTTATATGTCAATGATATATCCAATGAAATTTGAATTTAGAGCGATAATAAAATGCGAGATAAAATTTGAAAGCATTTTGTGCGAGTATGTTATATGCACAATACAAAATTTAACGATTTTCAGGAGGACAAAAAGTGGAGCAGCCGGGGCTTAGTCCTTTCTAAAAGACAATGATCGATTTTAGGCTTTACGCTATGCTGTCCCGCTCCATGACCATAATCTATCAGGGAAAATTGAAGTTGGCGAGTAAAATAAACTAGTTCCACTGTCCGCTGAAGGATGGATAAATGCCAAGGCTAGTGTGCGTCCGCGCGGTTTATTTTGCCTGTCCGTTCGGTACTTCCGCTCTCGTGTCCCTTTTCATATTTTACTTCCGTCTTAAGACTGCCTGCGATGAAATCTCGAACTTATTCGCCCGTGCGCCATTATTCCCCGCGAGTGTTTCGACGTTCTCGTCGAACGTAAATCACTGTGAAATATTGATTGAGGAGACTCGTACCTCGAAGTGTTTTGCGGAATTTGTACAGTCGTAAATTCTATGCGCTAACGTACGTATACACGTACGTATGTACGTATGTATTCCTTCCTCTGTGCAGTAAAAATAAATTAAATAAATCTACGAGCTGATTTACAAGTTGCATAAATTTGGCGGTACGAGTGGGACGTATGCAGGGTATGTTAAAATTCGCACACTATCCTACGAATCACGAGACCCACTGGGAATCAGTTTACACGATGTGACATACCCAATATTCGGTTTATATATTTTGTGCTGCTTATATGTTTTGTATATATATATATATATATATATATATCTTTTTGACAAAATAATAATTACGGATATTAACGCATACAGTTGCTATCTAAATACATACTCTACGCACGATTAGCAAGCGATCAATTGACCGTGATTTAAGGAGGTTGTAAGACAAAGTGAGTTTTTTAGAAAATCATTGAAACTTGCGCAATATATAAATAGAAATATCTAACTGCTAATGCAATTGGAAAAATATTGACCATTCAAGAGTTCAGATATTTGAAACTAAAATCTGAAGAGAGAGAGATAAGATAAGATAAGTAATTAGTATATTAGTAATTAATAGGTAAGATAAATAATAAGTAAAAAATAATCACTTTTTATACTTGTTCGTTAGGGTTGGCGTGCTTTTTAACTTCTTGTAATCCAAAATAAAAGTTAATAAAATAAAAGCTACTATAATATTAAAGACTAATATATATAAGACTAATATACCGACGTTATATACAAATTACAGAATTACTTACCACATTTTGTTTGGAAAATACCACAGTGAAAAATTCATAACTTATAGTAATACTCAAAATAGATATACAAATATATTGAACATTTATATATATATATATATATATATATATATATATATATACATATATATATATATTTATTTATTTATTTATACATATATACATATATAATAATAGATCGATTAATGTATAAAAAACTAATAAGAGAAATAAATATATTCTTTTGTACTTATAATATTATGCATATACATCTATCTCAACTTTGTCTAGAAATTAACATTTATTACTTAAATAGCGAAATAAATATATAGAAACGTAATCTTGTTCGATAAATAGTAAATTTATAAATGGTCCCTTTAATAACCCCAAAAATAGTCATTGAAAATACGACATTAGTCTTACAACTTTCTTAAGGAAAAAATAAAAATATCGCGACTTACGTAATGCCTATTTGTGCACCGCTTCGGTAAGTGACTGTCTCCAACGACGCACAACGATTGTCTACCGAGAAAACTCCTCGTGCGCGCCAACTTTTTCCTTAATATATGCCAACGCAGTAGGCGCGATTAATGTGGGGAAGGCGCGGGGGAGCTGGCCAGGCTCCTACGAGTCGAGATCGAAGTCAAGGCAATCGTCACGAGATTAAGTTCGCGGCGGTCGTGAGAATCTCAAGTAAGCACAAAAACGAAAAAAGAGAAGAAAAAAAGAAAGAGGATAGACGGGATATCCCGGGAGTGAGAGAGAATATTTGTGCAAGCCAAGTGCGACAGATAAGTACGCGACACTCGTCCGCGGCGACTGCTTGTCGTCATGTTGAGCTCGCGTTGCATTAATTAAGACGAATGCAGCACGTAATGGACATTATCAGATGTCCTGCCGCACGTGTTAACGGGTGTCGCGTTAACGGCACGACTTTTATCGCTATCGCGTACGTTTTACGAGCGGCCACTGGCGCAAGATGCAAATGAAACGGAGACGGATTAAACGCCACTGCCGCCGTGGCCGCCGTCGCTGCCGTCGCCGTCGAGGGCATAATCAGCTGACCTAAACTCAAAAGGATTCAAAGGCTCGTGCGGATAGCTTTATGCCCTTTGCAGATCCTCAGTCGGTGCTTTCGTACATTAACTAGCAGCGTCCGAATTATACGAATTCTCATATATCCGAATATAAGGATTACGCGTGCCTTTGATGAAGAACATGCCGAATTATGCTCAGCGGTTGAAAGAGAGAGAGAGAGAGAGAGAGAGAGAGAGAGAGAGAGAGAGAGAGAGGGAGAGAGAGAGGGGGAGAGAGAGAAAGACTTTTCTGGTAATTCAAACGAAAAGTACACATCTTTAAGTATGTCATGTTAAATTCTATTACATATAAAGTAGAAAATGATAATATGCTGTAAATTCTGTATTTTTAACGATTGAAAAATTATCTTGATTTTAATGAGGTTATTACTACGCGTTCAATTTCCAATTTCCACAGTTTATTATTTCAAATATTCACTGAAAGATATAATTCTCTTAAATTTTATTCAGGTTTTGGCGTGTTAGGAAAAGGCGCGATATTGTAATATTTCGCTTTACAGATCACTTTACGGCGCTACTGTTTAGTAGTAATAATATTTTTTCTCGCTTCCAGTATCCTTTAAATACTCGGCTTGTTCTTCAAATATCCAATTGGCGCGTAGAACTCTTATCAAAGCTTACAGTACATGTACATGTACATGTACATGTACTGCACAAGTACATGTATTCAATTTACATACTGCATTTTTCAATCTGATAGAATCTGATTGGTGGACGCGTTGAAGATACTAATATGAATGCTTAATTAGATGATCCGTAAGTACCGTTATCGCATCTGCCAGCATGATAACTCGATAGAAAGTATATCGCTCGCCTCGAAAAGTTGCTCAAAAATTTCAAATATATATATATTACGTATACAAATACAAATAACAGATTTTTTTTCTTTTTCATTTTACGCACACGCTCTCAAATAGCGCGAACGGGAGGAAAGCACGCGGAAGCGAGACACGTAATCGTTGATAAAACGATCTGGCGCTGCAAATTATAAAAAGCCGATGGTATCTATTTGAGTGGAAATGCCGAGCGGAGTGGTGCAACGAAATCACTACACATCGCGCCTGCTAATTCTCACGTAGCGATAATATTTTTCGATATCGATCGCATGTGATCGTCCAAACGATCACTTTTATCGTTGTATTAATAGAGATACCAGGGGGATAACATTATGTCGTTATCTTCCTTCTGTCTAGCAATCGTTAGCACGATCTGAGAATCGATAATTATCGATTGTACTTTGCCTTATTTGGATATCTGATCGATTTAATCCGTCGTTAAAGAATATGCACAAGTGAAAACTATTCCGAATATTCTTGGCAATTAATCATCCTTAAAGTATATGACTCGTGTTGCGTACTTCCCCCTTGTTATGATAAAGCTTTATTAGTCTTGTCATTCTAAATGTTTTCGTATCAGCCCGTTAAGTTTCAACTACCGGTAACTCTTAACAGTGTAATACAAATACAAAGCTTCTTAGGAACGAACAATTACTTTGCTTCACAAAGATTATCTTAACAAAACAATTTATGTAACAGGTGTTTTAGGAATTAAACTATCAAAATTGTAACGACAGATTCCTTGTCCAATTAAATAATGGAATTTATTAAAAAATAAAAACAAATAAATAAAAATTAATAAATAAAACAGATAAAAAGGAATGTTCTAACTAGAAGAGCTTTTGGTTTATAATTGTTTAAAAACGAAAGCTATTTGTCTTCTTGAACAAGTGTGTGTATAAATGATAAACATTGTAAATGTTTTACATTTATAACATTGTAAACAATTTAAATGATACATGACACAAAATTCATTTTAAACAATGATTATTTTATTTAATTCTTTTGCTTTAACAAATATTTTGTTTGATGTTTAAAAGCTTAAAAGATTTGCGCTAAACTTTTCACGTTGTAATTTCTGATTGTCCTGAACAAGGTATAATTGAGGAAGATGTATTTCCTGTTGTGTATCAACTTGCATTTGTAATTCTTCAAAACTAAAACACATCGTTTAATCAAAGTATTTCACAAAAGACTGCCAAGCTGGAAATATCTTTGTGGCTTCAAAAGTTTGTAGATCCCATTCCATTTCGTGCATTTTCCTTGGTGGTTGCTCCAATAACTTTAGTATCAGATACAGATACAGAGATACAGAGATACAGAGCTTTCTTTTTAATTACATTCTTCCATTACATTCACTCGCTTTTAATTACTTTGCGGAAGCACGATAAAACATTTTCAAAGAGTACAGCAATTCAAAAGAGACGTAAATTTTATATCGCGCGTTTACCTCCAATTTAGCAAAATATTAATTGCTGTATTAGAATGCAAAGTAGCAGAGAAACCAATGAGGTAGGTCGCTGTTTACAAGCTTGCCTTAATGACGCACACTTGGATTAGCATTTTTATCAGTTTGCCGCTATAAATTTAATTTTAGCTGCCACCAAGGCAATTACATTCCAACAATTTTGTTACTTTTACCTTATTCCCTGATTCCATGTCGGACAAATATGCACGAAAAACGAAAAAGATATTTCAAATTTAAAATACAATTATGATACTATGTATTTTGAGCTCTATATATTCTTATATTGTTATTAAAAAGCCTATTCCTTATTTTATATGATTTATGTTTTACTGAATATGATTTCTCCATATCACACGCATTTAGATACATGATATAGAAAAATCATATTAAATAAACGCGCATGTAATTATAATCCATATTAAAAGCGTAATAAATTTTGCAACCTTGTACTTCTGAGTTCATTACGTTTTATTATGTATTGCATTGCAATAAACGGTATGTATTGCATTAAACGGTAATTTATTTACTTATTGTCAATAATACTTTTCTACCTACGGAAGATTGAGTCTTACCGACTAATTAATTTCCATCGAATATTGCCGACGGTGCCTCAATTCAGTTTATCCATTATTATCTACTGGAATGTGTTGATTCTCTAATATTGCCACTAGTAGATATATGACAATAAAAATCGTTAACTGTCTGTCATGTAATATCTTAGGGATCTTTTGTCTATAATATATGTATATATCAAGTTAATTTTATATTAACCCCTTTACTATAAAAATTCGATTACGCATTTTATATATATGTCACGAGAATTTCATGAGAAATTAACTTGAAAGTAATAACTAAAACTAAAATAAAAACTAATCATGAGAAAAGTAAATTTTATTTTAGAAAAGATTCAAAATTTGTATTATACAAAAGTAATTTTGAATTGTTACCAACAAACGCACTCCATTTATTTCGGTTTCCTCATTACCAGATGTTCATTGATATTATACCAGATGTAGGTACCAATGTAGGTATAGAAGTACTTTGCAGAGTGTCGCGCAACCTTATCGACATTTTGAAGATATCGGCGGTTGCACATTTAGCAGCACATGCAGATTAGATATTTCAAGTTGATAAGAATGTCAGTAAATTTATCAGACGTAGTATAACTTATGAATCAATTTATTAGTTGTTGGACATACTTAGTTTAATTTTCGCAAATTTCTTTTCGAGTCGGTTATACACGTGAGTGTATAACGGTTTTAACGTGAGTTGGTAACATGTAAATTTTCTTATATTTTCAAAAATGTTTTTTCAATAATTTTTATCATATTTACTGGCGAATTTTCGTTCACGTTTTTATTGTTATGAAACCTTTTGTTATTTGTATCTGCCGAGGGCAGTGTATGAAAAATAAAACCTATAAAATGTAAAAATTATCATTTTTTTAAATTTAAGTTTTAATTTTGTCTGTCTACTTTTTATTGCTTTATGTTATTATTGTTATTTTTGTTATTATTGTTCCGGATATGTCCGGATGTTGTTCCTTAAATGTTAGCTTTAACTTCTTCAAAAAAATATTCTATATTTGTTTTTTATTATTTATTTATGTTTTTTAAGGAAAGTAGTTTATTATTAAAAAAAAATAAAATTCTCTTAACTTTTTTATGTGTGTAGTAATGCTATATTACTACACACCCATAGCTGATATGACGTATTGATGTGACTAGTGAAAGGAAGATAGTAAAAATAGCTTCCTCCGGCTTCTTCCTCGTATATCGTATATGCACATCGTATATGCTTCATGCACATTCGATTACCGCATATTGTCGTCATATTGTTGAGAACACGAAGATTCTTCATGCTGCTCGATCGAACACGACTAGAAGATGCATATGTCAATTCCACTGAATCATCTTGTCTCAAGAGCTAGGACGGTCTCTATATATTTATACGCGATATTTCCCTGTCTACCAGCATACCCACATCGCGACCGTACGAGATCGTAGATGAATTCAATAGGAAGTGCGATGTCGATGCCCACGGAGCGGAAGATATTCGAGACTTGTGTACCCGGCCAATTTCAAGTAGAACCGTGCATTATGGGATTATCATTACGTGTGCCGGATACCCATTATGGGGTGGATGGAACTCTCGCGGCCCCGGCGCGGCATTCAGAAATATCTGCTAAGGCGATTACGCCTGGGACTACCTGATGTTCGCCTTTGTTACGCGCCTTTA